GAATGAAATCTCTGGGTATATATGTATATATCCAAAAACTTTTGCTATCTGTAACAAAAAAAAAAATGTGTAAAAATCAGCAGGACAAGTCTTTGTTGCACAAAATTCGGTTTTCTTTTTGTTTTTAAAATCAGTAAATGAATTTGAGCGCAAAAATAATTAAGCACTGGGCAGCGGACAGTTCCTCTGGTGCGCCATCACAGAAATCATTGACGGATTTTGCGTAAAAAGTCGTTTCTTGTCTGAGCAGTGGCACATTTGTTTTCGAGCTAAATCAGGAAGTCGAAATATAAATGAACGCGTTGTCAAAACACGCAGAGTTTTTGCTCGTTCTCAGTTTACTTAGTTGCGTTACGATATTAGCTCTCCTTTTCAATTTTTATAAAGCAAAAAGGACGAAGTGTCCTATCGTACATTTCTTCAGCAAATTTAGCCATTTTTCACATTCCCGTTCTAGCCGTAAGCAGTGGAAGCTAGCTGTTCTTCGGGAAATGTCAGTTCCGACATAATTAGCCAAATTTGCTGGTGCGTGGGTTCGTCGTATAGCACATGTAAATCACTTTCTTCGCTCTAATTTAATACGACACGGCGAGAAAAAAAAAGGCAAAAAATTTAATGGAACGAATTGGACCGTAAAAATTGTCTGGCCTTGTTTAAATTGAACTATTTTCCACCATCCTGTAAAACTCCACTTTTTGTTTTGTAAGAGGCTTTCTGTCTTCTTAGTTTACCCAAATCTTTTGTATTTCGTAGGTTTTTAGGCAAATATTTTGCGAAGTGTATTATAAAACGAATCACAAAATGTTAAACCAATGTTGTAATTTTTGGATGAGTAATTCCTAAAATTTGTGTATATTTTACAGCTGTGGAAAAACTTTGTGAAGAGATTGGGATTGGTCTAGCTTCAGAATCAAGATTTCTAAGAGGTGCTTAAAAATTTTTGAGGATGAGTTTATTAATAGACAAGAGCAGTAGGAAGTCGTTTTTCCAATATTGTGGGGCAGATGCGGCGGCAGCGAAATAGGAAAAAATTGTTTTTCTTGATTTTTGTTCCCATTGGTTCGCTGAAAAGTACTGCTTTTGATTAGGCTTGAGGGGCTAAATGATGCAAATGCCGAGGGCTGCTATTATAAGGCTGCTACAGAGACGGGTTTTTTATTCGTTACTGCTGGAGTGGCACAAATTTCACGCTTCAGTGGTTTTTTTTTGAGGTCGGAACTGAAAGCAAGCAGTATGTGCAGTGGCACTTTTGAATTATAATAATAGATCTGAGAGCCTTGCATGCTACATAGATACAGCAAACGTGAGATAGGACAAGAGATGGCGGACTGAGGGAACGAGCGGAAGGGGGATGAAATGGTGAGAACAGGAGGAAAATGTTGTTCGGAGGCTTCAGGACCTAATTAGAATAGCTTCAGCTATGCGTGAGAGGACCGATGATGATAGGCGTGCAGCAGCAGCGGCAGTGGACTGGATGCTTAGATGGATGGATGAGCTAGTGCATGAACGATAGCCAGGCGTAGGCGCAGTAGGCTCCTCTTTTGCAGAAATAGCAGAAAGCACCTTGCAAATTAGCTCTATCTTTTTTCGTGAAGCTAGTAATTTTGTTATCAGCCAAGCGATACACCAATGCCTGCTGATTTTGTTTCGTAAATGCCGCTTGACTGCTCTCGCCTATTGCGCATGCATCTTCGTCTTTATTCAGAACTGCGCTGCTGAATTCTTCTCTGACTTCTTGTTTTGAAAATGCTCAGCGAATTGATCAGTCCGGCTTCTGAAGAAACAGATTGGGCCTGATGATGGGATTACGGGAAACATAAACAAAGCTCACTTTCGGAAAGCCTGTGTTCTGCTTCGCCTTCTTTGATTTATGCAGTGAAAGTTAGTTGAAACTAAAGGTGCCAAAGTCGTGGGAGTAATGCGAAAATTTGCGAGGGACGTCGTATTCTCTTGGGAGGTGTTAATTGCATTGGGGGGCAATAAACTGAGTTGAGCGGCACTCAGTGTGTGGCAGCAGCGTGACGGAAATGGGAAGGGACGCTACATTTCTATGGCCTCCATTTTTCCGAGCCGCGGTTCCACTTCTTCTTCTCAGTATTAGGGGCCACTCCTAATTCGAAACTGCGCTAAGGTAATTTATACATTCAAATCTTCTTTTTAAGGCCACTGAGCTAGCTGGACAGGGTAGTACCGAATTATGGTTGAGTGGAGGAGTAATGAAAGTTGCTGGCATGACGAGAATTGTGTTGGCCCTAATCAGATTACGAAACAGCAAGAAATCTCAGATTTTAACAACTGTTGCATAAATTAAATAATTAGAATGTTTCTTTGTGCAGAGTAGTTTGATTTGCGTTAATGATGTTTTTTTTTTTTTTTTTCGCATGTTAATAATTTTTTGTTCTAAAACTAAACATTCGTTTAAAAAAAAAACAGCTTCAGCAATTGCACATAAGCCGTTACCGGAGCTGACTTTTTAAGTGAATTTTCATTTTCTTTTTTTTCTTAATACTATTGAAAGATAGTTAATTAAAAATCCCCTGTAGGTGATGTTGTGCGCTAGAATGAGTGTAAGGATTATTGCCGAAGTCGATGGGTGTAATGATTTTTTTTTTGGCACTAGCCTTTTTGTATGTTATAGCTTTTGCGTCATGGCAACCGACAACTTGATTTTTGTTCTTCCTGGGAGTTGTGAGATTTTTCCCATGGTATTTTATTTTTTTCGTCTTTAAAGCGTATTTTCTGCTAATCGTTTTAAGTGTTTAGCATCCTGAGTAGGTGAGTCCTGGCGAGTAAGTGTTAGTGGTGGCCAGGTGCTTTTCACTTCTCCGTATAGTCATGAGGATGATGATGATGATGATGATGTTGGTGATGTTGGTGATGTGTATGAAATGAAGGGTTGGATACAATACATTTGCAATGCTAATACATCAGCTCTGCTTCAAATGTTCAAATCAGAAAGCGGAGCGGAGTGTAAAATATCTATCTTTCATTCATGAAAACGAGTAACAACATTGCAGGGCTCATCAGTTAGAGCTTAACTAATTAAAGCTCAAACTCATGAGCCCCAAAAGCTTCATATGGTGTCTCTTCTTACTAAATAAATAAAAAAGGATAATGCAAATGGTGTTTGTAAAAAGCAAAGAATTATGCCGACAAGACATTCCAGTTTGTCAAGATCTTTGCCTTACAGCAGCACACCTTGCTTTCCCAGTGACATTCAGAGGCTTAGAAAGCAAGTTTGGAAATTGATTTTTTAACCGTTTCCTAGAAATTTGTTTTTTTGTGGAGCAGTTAGACCGCAGAACTTTCTCCTTAAATTTTTGTCTACGAATTTATGTTTTCCGGAACACTAGACACGAATGTTTGTCTAATAAAATGCATAGGCCAATTATTCTTCTGGATAAATAGTTTTCGGTGAGGAAAGGCGTAATCCGCTGCTCGTACCTTCACGCATTGCTGTTTTAAGTATTCATCAAGGGGTCGTCGCCCACTCCTGCCCGGTCTCTCTCGCTGTCTTTTTCGGAGGTTTTAGCTGTTCACTGGCTTTGCTAAATTTCTTAGCTGCTACCCGAAAAAATGTTTCTCAACAATGGGCAGAATCTTTTATTGCACAACCGATATAAAAATTATTTTGATAGTTTTATTTTCCATGGGCATATTTGAAAATTTTTCAAATTATTTACTTTCTTTGTTATGCGTTTCTGCTCAAATCAGAAACTCTTTATGGCGACATCATGATTCCTTGTTTTATTCCGAACAGATAAACTTTTATATTTTCATGCATAAAAACATGTGGCACGTAGAATATTGCCCCTGTCGTGTACGAAGCCACGATCTAAGAATAGTCTTTAGGTCTCACTTTATCTCCTCCGTTAGATTTAAGTTCTAAGTTCGGTCAATAACTCCAAAACAACAAAAGCCTTGACCGTGGACTTATCATTGTGATTATGGGCGATTAGTGTGAAATTTTCTTTTAAGTTCTACGCCGTTCTATTTTATAATGCAGACTTTCAATTAAAAATTTATTTGAGCGGTATTAGTTCAGAACTGAACGAGTTAACTTGAATTTCGCAATTTTTGTCACTAAATTGTGCAAATTTAAATCCTCTCTAGTCTCGGTTTGTTTCAATCTGCGGTTTTAGGACCAGAACTGCGCTAATGTAGCAAAATGCAGGTGCAAATTCGAAATCTGCTTTTGTTCACCCAGTGATCATCACATTGCAAGATAACTGCACTGTATTTACTGGCGCATCCTTCACTCTGCAGCACTGCCGACTAATTGCAAAAGCGCTTAGTTCTGGCGCCCGCTCTTGTCTGACACACTTCATTTCTGTAATTGTGGTGTTCCAAAGCAGGTTTTGTGTAAAATGCATCAGAAGTAGAAAATGTTCTTCAGGCATCAAAAATTGCCCATTTTCTAGCTGGGACAGTGCAGGTTGTGAATCAGGGATTGGGCTGCACGACAGGAGTGGTGAGGTCAGTGAAGCATCGCAAGACAATATTTTGGACGAGGTCATAAAGAATTCAAATTGGTAAGCTTGTTTTTGTCTAGAAAAAAAAATTCGCTAAAAAGTGTGTTTTTTTTTCAAAAAACGAAACGCGAGTAGGTGCGATAAAAAAATGGGCAAATCTAAAAACCATATGAAATAAAAGATTGATTCGAAAGGTTTTTATGCGTTTTTGCTTATATCCAAATTGCAAAAACGCATGTTGTTACGACCCATGGTGTGTGTGCATATGTGTGTATGTGTGTGTGCGTGCGTGTGTGTGCGTCTGTCCAGGTATTTCAGCTCGGCACCCAAGCAAGCTCCGGCGCCAGAATTTTGCTTACGGGTTCCCCGGCCAAGTGCCAGTCCAGAACCGCGGCACCAACTCTCACGCACGTCTAGGCCCCGCGTACCAGAGGGTGAAAGTTTTGACAGGAAAATCGCTAACTTGCGAACCAGAAAAGCTATAAAGCTGAAATTATTAGGTTATGTCCCCCCTTCACCTAGAACTCAAAGATTTCAAATTCAGCTCCCAGGGATACGTGGTCCCCGCGCACGGCCTCGTGAGGGTTCCTGGTGCGAAAATCACTAATTTGGTAAGCCAGAGGATCTGGGAGGCTGAAATTTCAATGGGATTTTCCCAGCCCGTGTACAACTTAAAGTCAGCAAATTCAGCCTTCAGGCATGTGTGGTTTTCACGTGCGGCCCCGTGAAAATTTTTGGCAGGGGAAATTTCTAACTCGGGACCTGGGGAAGCTGGAAAGCTGAAATTTTAAAGGGGTGTTCCCAACCTTCGTAAAAACTAAAAATATCAAATTTAGCCGCCAGGTATGCGTGATTCTCAAGTACAGCCCCGTAAAAATTTTCGGCAGGAAGAATTGCTAACTCGGGAACCAGGGAACCTGTGAGGCTGGAATTTTAAGGGGATGTTCCCTGTCCAGCTACTGCATAGACAATTAACTTATCGAACTTCGAGGAACAGCATGTCACACATTTCTAGCTACTGGATTTCTAAGCGATCTGATACGCATGATCGTACGGGTCCGCCCGCTGCGCGTCGCCAGTGATTGATTCACCGACATTTCAGCTATTTGTCAAATCGGCATGAATTCACCAAGCATTTTGATAGCTTTCTTTTTAGTGAAAAGTGGAACAGTGCCTGCCTGTTCACTCAGACTTTTCGGACGTTAATGAGTTCACAAAGCGAAGAACATGAGTGCCACAGGCTGAATCAGTCAAGACAGTGTGTTGAAGGTTCCTTTTGAGGGCAGTCCTTCTTACAGTGGGTAATTTGTATTAGCAAGTGGATTAGGAACAGAATTGTTGAAATTATGGAGTAGGTTTTTTTTTTCTAAACGGGTATATATTAAACGATTATCCCGGAGAAAAAAAATGCAAACTGCGAATCCAAATGTGAGTCTCATAGCACATCTTCGTAATCGCCTGAGCAGTTTGTGTGAGAGTTTTCGTGATTCTGAGATGCAGCTATCGCCTAACGAAGCTCTCTTCTTTCTTCCCTGAGCCACCTTTTTCTAGTTATTGCCCATATATCCGTTGTTATCGAATATGTCCCTTCAGGCATTCCTAGCTGTATGTCTGATTCGTGTAGTTCGATTATTTTACAGTTCTGGACATTGATGCTCAAACTGTTCACTTGTCGCTGCATAAAATTGAAATTGCGCAACACCGCGTTACTGTTCTCCCATTCGTTATTTAATCGAGACACACGGACGGATTAGAACGTGAATGAGTGTGAGCGCATACCGTGAGGGCGATAATCATTGTATTTTGCTGCACGGAGTCAAAAACGAGGGGATGGTGAATGAGTTGGAAGACTACCTTAGTCAGTGATGGGTTCTCTGTGTAAAAATTCTATTCATTCGAGGGAATTTGTTTATGGTATTGTAAAAAAGCATGCCAAAATAAGACGAAAAATACCGCAACGGCAAAAAAGTTTTACGAGGAAAAAGTTGAAGTTCAAACTTTCCTCATCTTTTCGAAGCCATTTGACAGGGAAAGTGCAAGACGTAGTGTGATGTGGATGATAAAAATTGACCCTGTAATTCTCCAGGCTTTTCAGTAGGCCATTGATAGCTTGAAAATTGCGCTTACATGCTGCATGAGGGACAAAGACGTTTGAACCACCTTTGTTTTTTGGGTGCTTCGCGTTTCGAAAAATGGCTTCTTTTGAAATGACCTGGATGAATCCAATAGTGGTTCTCTGCACATCCTCCTGTACGCATTTGATGCATTTATGCGGTGCTTGTGGCGACTTTGATTTGCTGGAAATAAGCTAAATGTTGGTGGCATGCCACTGATTTGTTAATTTCTTTGGGAGTTCCCAGAACTCCAGTTGGCTCGCAGAATCCTGCTCTGGAAAACTGTATGTGAGCTCCGGGATGTTTATTTATTAATTAGAAGGCCAAAGCAGGGTTGCTTTGCCAGTATTAGTAATTACCTTAGATGAAGTTTGCGATTGGAATGCGATTATTGGTTGCGTGACTAGCTAGCTGATTGCTGGATGCAGTAATAAATGTTGAGTTTAACTACAAAATTTGGTCGTTTAGAAGTTTGCACTGAATTCGCATAATTAGCTGCCAGTTGTTTTGACGAAGTGAGATTGTTGCAGCGTCACGACAACAACAATGTCATTAATGAATGCGGGTAAAATGAACGAACGCGCTGTCAGCGCAGGTGGACGCACCAGTGCATACTCAGGGAAAACAGAAACCGGCGCATTCCGTCCGGTTACCAGAAGACGTTGCGTGCAGACAGATTCGAATCAACAGGTAATAGTTCTTTGAATTTTCAATGCTAAAACATGAAGTGCAAATCTCATTCCGAATAAGCAGCGGGTTGAGGACCTTAAGTACAGGAAGGACTTGCTCGGCAGCGAAGGTGTAAAATTGAGAAGCTACGAATCTGGAAGCTCGGTGAAGGGGTCCAGCCTGCTCCACCTCAGACGTGCTTCTTCCTTTGGCGCACTGTAAACACTGTTGCGCTTTCTGTATAGCACCTAGTTTAC